AAGAACAAAACAAATAGCATTAGCAACAATTCTATATTAAAGTGAAAATCAATGCCAACAGCACAAAGAAGTTCCAAGTCCCCATTTTTGTTTTGGACAAGTCTTAACACATTTTGCCAATCTTTTGGAGGACTTTCCTAATATCCTAATATTTCTTCCTAATATCTAACCTTAATCTACCCTCTTCCAGTTTAAAACCCTTACCCCTTGTCCTGTCACTACATGGCCTTATAGAGAGCCCCTCCCCAGCTTTTCTGTAAGACCCCCAAAGATACTGGAAGGCCACTGTAAGGTCTCACTGGAGCCTTCCTTCTCTCTGAACAATCCCAATTCTCTCAGCCCGTCTTCATAGCATAGATGCTCCACCCTTCCTCTAGACTCGCTCCAACAGCTCCATGTCCTTCTTGTGTTGGGGGCTCCAGAACTGTATGCAGTACTCCAGGTGGGGTCTCATAAGAGCAGAGTAGAGGAGCAGAATTAACTCTCTGGACCTGCTGGCCACACTTCTTGTGATGCAGCCCAGGATTCAGTTGGCTTTCTGGGCTGCAAGTGCACATTACTGGCCTATGTTGAGGACATTATTGAACATCAGCTGAAAAGGAATGGAAGGGCATGGGTTTCATTTAGGACTAGAAATTTGGTCTCTTTCTTTGGTCTGTGTTGTGGAGGACTGGAAAACAGATTCTAGAGGATACAATTAGAATATTTAAAATAAAAGGAGCTGAAAGTCTGTGAGTTGCCTCCTGCCTCAGCTGAAAGCAAGGCAACAACAGGTATACCAGTTATTAGAGCGGAAAACTGCTAATATTCCTCAGATAAAGTATTGGTAATGAATCATCAAATAACAAAGAAATGAAGGAGTAGTAATTGCTCGGAAGAATAACAGAGTAAGCAGGCACCAAGAATACAACAAAACCAATTAGGGAGCAATTGGGAAGACAGCCCTGTTTCATAATACTAACATGTCATATTGCAGCCCTAAAAAAATGCATGGTTTTGTGTCATTAGGTAACAGAGTTAACCTCATGTAAGTTCAAAAATGGACAGAGGCAGATCCAGATCACTAGACACCTATTAGTCTGACTTCAGTAGTCTTATTAAGCTTTTGCAGAAATAAAGGAAAGAATAAATAAATACTTGAAAGTAAGTGAAAGGTAGAGTGAAATGCAGCAAGTCGTTTTGAAGTAAATTGTTCAAGATTAGTCTGATCTTCTCTGATAAAGCACTGTAGATTTTTCTGAGAGAAGAAATGCAATATATCTAGTTTGTCAGATGTCAATAAAACATTTGATATGCTGTAATGATGGAAATTATTAGCTAAACCAGGGAAGATGAGGTTTGAGAGAGGAATTACAAAGTGAGTTGTGATCTGGCAAATGGAATTGCCTCACAGCTTATACTGATGGTTTAACAGCTGGCTGAGTGCTCAGAGACCAGTGCCAGAGCTGAGCCTGTTTAATGCTTTGACCTTGGCTCAAAATTAGGAATATTTTGATGAAATGTGCTGATGATACAGAAAAAGAAGCAGAAAGATTTGGATGACACCATGGAAGTTATACTACAGAGTAATGCTGTTAACAACAGTAACAAGAATTTCTGTGTAAAGATGGAGCTTGTTGGTTGGAAGTGATTGAAGAGAAGAAGGTTGGGAAAGTATTTAATGTATTCAGCAATCTCAGGATGACTTTGAGCCACTATTCAAAGATAGTCAGAAAAATAGTATATATCAAGCAAAATAATTTCAACAGAGAAATAAAAAAATGTTGATTTGAAATCACAAAACTTTGGTAAGGCTTCCAGAATACTGATTAGATCAGAAGTGCAAGTATGAAGAGAGCTAAGAGGAAGAGAAAATCTGTTTTCTGACAGGAGAGTTTTTTTCATAAAAGCACCAGCTGAGAGAAATTATGATTGCTCTCTAAAAGTCATCAGATGTAAATCCCAAAGGACAAAAGTTGTTTAAGACACAAGTGAATAGCATCTGTAAATTGTCTATGGATTAATTTTGAGGTGGAACTTAAGTGTTCCACACTTGAAAGGGATGAAGTGCTAAACCTGCCTTTCAGAAGGAGCCATAGATCAAGAAAGTTCTCAAAATGGAGTCAGATTTTCTAACCAGCTGTACTTAAAATGTAAGTGTCCACAGTGGGGAGGGACACAAATTGGTAACTAGGAATGTAACTTCTAGTTCTTTGTGTTGGGTCAGCTTCAGCTTCAGAGCCTGGTTCAGAAGGAAATGCAGTTTTGCAGTTAATTTGTTTTTTATGTAAGAAACATAGCCTTTTAATATAAATGACCTGCAAATCAAGCATGTGTTAGTTTTAAGTGTATAAATGTTGTGCATATACTGAATGATTTGTGTATATATTGAAAGCACGAAGTAGATAAACTATATGATCGCATATGTTTAAATAATTTTAAAAATAGAAACTTCTTAGCAAGATATGTACTGAAATACATAAGCAAGGTACTGATAATATCAGCATTCATATGTTACCATCACTCTATGACAAGAGAAGTGTTTGAAAGATAATGGAGTTTACATTTCTAAATTATATTCCTCTTGATACGCCTTCTGAATTAAAAAAGAGTGTTTTGGTAATTCTTTCATTCTGGTTACCCAGAATTTCCTGTACACTTGTATGATAATGGGTAAGGTTTGTCCAGTAAGTGGACACATGAGCATCACATTATGTTGCAGAAGATTGCTAGTGGATTTAATGGAAAAATTAATCTTATAATTCTATCCGATAAAATAAACTTACAGAAAATTGAGGGGGGAGGGAGGTCTTAAGGAAGTGATCCTTTAAGTTGATTCAAACTCCAGTTTTCACTAATACTAAGATACTGCTTGCTCCTTATTTTTACCGACATAATATTAAGAATAGGTAAAAGCAGATGAGTAAAGAAAAAAATTTTCAGATACAGACTAGGCTAATCCAAGCATCATGCTAGAAGTATAAAATTATCATCAGGGAATTGACTGAATATCTTTGGTTTTATGACTTAATATTCTCCATCAAATGATGCAGATAAATATCTGTTTTTTATATTTCCCTAGATTAAGTTGTTTACCTCAGTTATATAGTCAACAATGCAATATCTTTCCTAGTTATGGTACAATAAAAGAAAGTTATACCACATTGAAATGTCAAAATAGTTGCTGGCATTGTGTGTGAGACCCCTGGCAAATTCTCATAGCATAATGTTTAGTTTGGTCATTGGAAAAATTCTTCTAAAGTGAAGTGTGTTCAAATCTGAATCAAGTAGAAAATAGGTCAAAAGCAGTTCTTCTGAAAGGCTAGAAAAATACAAAACCATACTCATATTAAAGAACTTTTGTAGACGTTTATATCCTTGAATAAAAGTTACTTTTGTGAGATTACATTTGAAATGTCACTGCCTTCTGCTTTCCCTACTCTTGCACCCACCAGCTATGGATTCACATAAATTGTTAATCATTTGGGTATTTAGAAATGTGCTATTATATGCTCTTTTTTTCTCTTCTGTGATGTTGAGAACACAACAGAAAGTTATCACCTGTTAGCTGAATAGCTAATCAGCTCTATCACTGCATTTAGCCTGCCACACTTACAATACTAAAAAAGTGCACTTAAGCCATGTAGAAAACATAATGTATTCAACTGTGATAATAATTTAAGGTCATTTCACTGTGTTTTCCTGTGAAAACAATAATTTTAAATGCTTTGTTTCTTGCTTTAGGAGAGCATTTTTTAAGCATTAGTTTTAACCAAGCCAGTATTTTCTGATCTTGAAAAGAAAGAATGGGTACCTTTGAATTCTGCAGGCTGTAGAGATGTAAAACATCTCTATTGTGTATATCTGAGGTACTTGTACTGACATGTGTAAAACTAATTTTTTTTTATAACTATGAGTACACAATGTTCCTGTCTCTAATGCATATCATGACATAGGTTATTCCTGGTAATTGTGGTAATTGAGTCAGGTATGGCAATGCTGTTAATTAGAACTTGAGGAATATGAGAACGTAAGCTTATAAGGAGTTCACCCAGATATTTTCAGTTTCAATAAATTACTACATAGGAAAGGAAAGCTGTCCTTGGGTATTATTTAATGGAGTAGTATTAGCTATCACAGGAATATTATGAAGTTCAGATTTATGTTAGAGATAAGCACACTTAATTTGTAATGCATTTATGAAAATATCTTTTTTGTCTTAATAGGGATTCTCCTATTTTTTATTTTTCATGTCATAATAAAAAAGCATAGTTCATACATTAGATTTGGCCAGCACAACATGAAAGAGAAATTCCTTTTGTTCTTGATAAAAAATGCAGAACCTGTACTGAGTTTGACTGGAACAAATGTAATATTAAAAAAAAAAGAAAGAAAAAAAAAAAGTGAAATAACATTTCAAAGCTCTCTCAAAGGAAAGAAATTGAATAGTATTGAAGGTGAAAGTAGATGGCAATTCCAATTTTTAACTATCATTGATAGGAAAGAAACTGGCCAAACTCAAATCTTTGAAATCACATTTAGATAATATTTCAAACAATAACTGTATGTTCTGCTATAACTTTTGGGGTTTTATACTTACTTGTTTGTTTGTTTTAATAATGCAGCACTAGTAATTTCCATCCTAGCCAGCAGGCAGTCTGCCTCCTATTTATCCCATTGCTGGCAACAGAAAGATAAATAACAGTTCACTCACGTTCTTTCTTTAACTTCCAGTTACTTGTGGGGCTAGAGTCCTTGAGGCATGGCACCACCTGCACAGCAGAAGGAGATGTGACTTGTGATGTTCTTTTTGTTTTGACAGCTAAATACCAGCACCTTGATGAATCATCTTTTGAGCAGTTGTGTGTTCAGGTATAAATCCTGTTCATCAAAAGTAACAATGGTTAATTACCAGGCAAGGACATGATACACTACTACTTGGGCAGCTCACAATTTATCTGTGTGCAAATCTTGATGCTTATTTAGGTTTTTCTTTCTGTCTTTGCATCTCGTCCTGACAGGTGTGTGCCCAATCACTGTGAACATGGTGGCAAATGCACCCAGACGTGGGACAGCTTCAAGTGCACTTGCGATGGAACTGGATACAGTGGCGCCACTTGTCATAACTGTAAGCTGTCCTGCAGGTTTGGAATTGCAGTGGAGTAGGGAAGACACTGATGTCTTTTGGTTGAGATAAAAAGGCAAAGCCTTTCTCTCCGGTTGTTAAAGATCCTTGAAACCTTTGTAGGTTTATATACACATTAGAAATACATCCCCTTGTAGGTAGAGACTCCAGCAGCCTCAGTCAGCCCATTGGCTGGCCCTGGATCCCAAACTCTGCAGCTGCTGATGCCTGGACACTGGATGGTGCAGTGGGGTATTATTTGGGATCCCCCCTGTGCACTTTTATGGGTGTGTAGATGGGCTTTTAAGACATAACATAATTTAACTTTCTTCTTGAGTCTCAAAGACAAGTAGCAAGAACAAACAGATGGCATCACTTTTCTGAAATCACATGTATTATGAAGGAAAGAAATAATAAGTCAAGGAACTGGGAACATTTCTCTTAATAGGATTTTCACCTGCTTTTTATAGATAAAACAGTACGATAAGGCAAGTGAAAGGCACTGTTGGACTGGTATCAAAAGAGGGGTTGGGACAATATTGTCCCATCTTTCACTATGGAGTGAATAATGTGTAGGGTTTACAGCTGTCCAGGTCATTTAAAGACAGATCATTCGAGAATCCTTACTCTTTACATTCAGGCAAGGTTATTAACTTAGATGGCTAAGCTTTTGTTTGGTTTTGTTTCGTGTTTGTGTTAAAAGAACATAAATTTAGTTTTTACCATGTGTGCTGCTATACTTTTAGAAACCTTTTTTTTAAAAAAAAGAAGACGGAGCAGCAAGATACTCACTTAATAGATATGCTGTCAGAATATGTGAAGTCTTAATGTCTTTCTGTAGTATAGAACGTAATTGCACAAAAATGAGTGGAAGCCAAAAATTATAGCATCAAGCTATATAGCCTGAGATAATGTTAACTCTTCCTTTATTGAGAAGACAAGGGCTATTGGCATTTACAGGAGCATGTTCCATCCATGTTTACAGTATTAGGTACAGATGCAAATACTGAGGGGATTTTTTGAAGCTGGCCAAAGGTTCTAGTTATAGTGTCCTGAGGTCTGAGGCCTCAGCTCTGCTGCAGTGGTACTTACCTTTCCTACCTGGGCAGTGTGTATGTGTACTCAAACATCCTTGGTGTGGTGCCTTTTGCTTTTGAGTTCTGATCTTTGTGGCAACAGCAGTACAGAAGAGGTGTTGGAGGAGGTGGGAAGTTGGAACAGTAACTGGTGAGTGGGGTTAAAATGGCTGAAATAGATTTTAAACAGCATTGCAGGTTGTATGAAAAAGCTGTAAAATTTAACAGGCGTCATGATTCTGTGGAGCAGAAAAGTGGTTACGTGCAGGTAGCACTTGTTCAGTACCACTATATATTTCTTTTTTCAATGTATGTTTTCATGGTGGTTAGGGCATTTCTCAAAGGGATTGGAGTCGAGACTACATTAGTGGGGCTTGTAACCACATAGCAGATGATTTTCATGAATTTGAATTTTGCTGAACTTAAAGGAACATGGTAATTCTGTGTTAGTGAAGGTGTTTTTTTTCCAGTGAATTGATTTAGCTTCGATCAGGGAATTCAACACTTTCTTGAGCTTTTGACCTGAAATAAGGCAATACTTTGCAGCCTCAACTGAATTTCAGATCATGGTTTTAGGTTTCTTTGAAGTTGAAATTCAAAGACAAACTCAAGGGATGAACTCCTTGAAGTGAAGTGGAGAAAGATGTTTGCATGAAATCCTTGTAAATGAAAATGGCTTTGTTCCATACAGGTCTGATCATAATATATTTATAGCATGATAGTAAAAATAAGAGTCAGTTGAGAGAGATGGGGAAATACGTATTCTAGGGCTAAGACAGAACAGAAATTATAAATCAAAAAGAAACTGCTACAGAAAGAAAAATTGCAAATAAATAAATCTGAAATAACAACTTTAATTCTTACTATGCCTCAAATGTCCAAATCAGTTACATACTTTTGCCATTTTAAGATCATAAAGTAATTTGTTTTTCAGAATAGATGTTACAGGAAGGATCTTTCAAAGACACACCAAAATCTCCAAGCTCTGTGTCCACTATCTTGTTATTTGTTAAAAGCTTAAGCTGCCATTCACAGAAAAGGATGTCTCTACTCCACAGTAATTTGTTCCATCTTGCTATAGCTGGATCCCTGGAGCACAATGGTGAATTAACCAAAATGCTGTAAAGTTGTATCTCTCATTGCATGGTAAATACAGTAGAAATATGCCAGATTTCTATTGCTGAACAAATGCTCAGTGCCTGAGGAAATGGTGTGGCCTGGCAAGTATCAGAGTAGATGATTGATTTTTTCACTAGATAAGGCTAAAAGATAATTCAATATATTTACATAGAAATAATGATTTACAGGGATGAGAGCAACAAAATTATTTAAAAATTAATTATTAGGGTTACAGTTAACAGTGTCATCCTTATTAGCTTTATTGTATCAGCAAAATTTTAATCCCCCACTAATTAACCTTTACAGCCTAATAAAGGCTGACCTGCCATGTGCAGTTATACATATGGTTTTTGGCTCTAAGGTGCTTCCTGCTGTTTACAGCTTCTTTAAAATAGAGTAGTATAACCTTACAAGTCATGTATCAGGATAAATAATGATAATTCAGCCTTCTTTGTCTCAGATTTTTAATGTATAACTCAATGGATTCTTTCTATAGAATCTGCATGTAAGAGAAACACAAGTAAGTATTTACTGACAGTTTTCTCCATTACTATGATGTATCTACCTCCTGCACAAACTTTGTTAAATGTAGGAAAAAAACAGAAGAATGTAGTTTGATCACATTTGCCTTCTAATGATTTTCAGTAGCAAAAAAGTCAAATTTGCACTTAAAAGATCAATTGTATTTGTATCCATTTTCACCCATATGAGAAGCAAGTTCTCTTCTTTAATTTCACCTACAAACAAACACTGTCCTGACTTTTACAGGGGTACAGATCCCATTCCTTCAAGAATAATAGACAGGAAAGGGCTTGCTTATAAATCTCCACTTGTTCCATAGGAGGGACTAACACCCAGCTCAGTCTGTTGCCTCTTAGTCTTGTAAAAGCAATAGGAGAGCACGACCTTACATACTCCTGTAGCTAGAAGAGGCATCAATTGCATTGGAATATGCAGAGAATGCAACTCTGTTGAGAAGGAACATAAACAATTCTTATGTTTTTAGATTGTCGTGTGCTGTAAGCTTTTTTCAAAATTACTATTTGATGCAATTGTAGTGATTCTTTGTTTCAGTATAAGAGACCTGGACCTCTGAATTCTCTGGCTTGGTCACCTCATAGCTTATTGTGAATAAATGTTATTCTGTATTTTGCAACGTGATTCCAAGTTAATGCGGAATAAAGCAATAATCTTCTCTCAAAATGGTAATTACGTGGCAGTGGAAGTCTAATGAGTATTGATATTTTTTCCCTGGAGTATCGACCTTCTCCCTAAAATGAAATATTGCTTTAATAATGGATTTAGTAGTCTAATATCAGGAGACAAACTTTGAGTTTGACAGTTGTGTTAAACACATTGTAGAAGCCATGGTAATTTGGATTCATGATTATTGCCCAAGTCAGTAATCAGAAACCCATTTTTAATCTGCATAGGCTGTGATCTTCAGGACAACCTCAATCAGTTAGTTTGTAATAACTGATTTTCCTGTATTTCCATAAGTGAAGAAACACCTGAAACACTGGACTTTCTGCTTTTAGAGTCTAGATAAGAAGGGCATGATAATGATATTATCCTGTCAACAATTAGTTAAATAGTTCCATAGCAAGAAATCAAACACATAATTTGGCAAAAATATGCTCCGAACTTTACATTAGGGAAGAAGAAATAAAAAAATAAAGGTGAAAAACAGTACAGCTATCTAGTTATTGCAAACAGGTTTTCCACTTAATTGGAGACCAGAGGATTTCCAAGAACACCATGGTTATTCTTTGTGATCTGATAACATTTGTTAAAAAAGGCAAGACCTTCAGTTTCACAAGCACATTGTTGTATTATTTTATGTTCTCTTAAAAAGTCATGGGCTATGTTTATGGAAGCTTTTTGCTTTCTTATAGTTTAATAAAGGGAAGGGAAAGTGTGAATAAACAGTAGAAAAAACACTTTTATAAAAAATATGTCTGCTGCAATTGAAAACAGGCAGCGTTGCAGGCTGTCTTACTTGTTCAGCCTAACCTGTGTGCAAGAAACCAGATTGTCCACTCATAGTAAGGTTGTTTAGGTTTTCATTAATCAAGTTGTATAACTGTGGACATATAAATGTGCTAATTACTCTCAAGAGAATGTACAGGCAGCCAGAGTGCCTCCAGGCAGCAACACAATAATAATCTTCACTAGGTACTCTACAGTGTGGAATGTCATTACTTACAAAACAAGAAAACCACCTCTGAAGTTTCTAGCATCTGACAAGATGACAGTGGTGTGTATAATGCTGAGTGATACTGGAAAGCATTTAATAGCACAGTGCAGCCATCAGGCACAGTCAGTATGGGTTCACAAAGGGAAGTTGTGTCTAGCTTATTTTGATACCCTTCTATGGTAAGGTCACCAGGGGGCTGAAGGGAAGGCAGTGGATGTAGTTCTTCTAGGTTTTAGTAAGGCTTTTGTTACTATCCCTCACAGCATTAATCTGGACAAGTTGTCCAGCCCAGTGCCCAGTGAGATGGGTAGGCACATGGTGTGCTGGGTGAAGAACTGGCTGAACAGAAGTCTGCCCTAGCATAAGTGGACAGTCCAAAGAGGTGATTTATCCCACTGTATATAGCATTGGTGCGGCCTCCCCTTGAGTGTTGTGTGTGGTTCTGGAAGAGACCTCTATGCTGATGTGTGCAGCATGAGGAATAAACAAGACGAGCCCAGTTCCAGAGATTTGACATTAATGGCGTAAGTGAAACCTGGTGGGATGACTCCTGTGATTGGAGCGCCCTGTTGGATGGGCACAGACTCTCCAGGAGAGATAGACAGGGCAGA